TTGAGCCCAGGAGTTGGAGGTTGCTGTGAGCTGTGATGCCATAGCACTCTACCCAGGGGGACAGCTTGAGGCTCTGTCTCAAAAAAAAAAAGAAATCTCAAAGTCCAGGCTGGGCAAGGTGGCTCACACCTATAATCCCAGCACTTGGGAAGCCGAGATGGGTAGACTGCCTAAACTCACAGGTTCAAGACCAGCCTAAGCAAGAACAAGACCCCAATCTCAAAAAAAAAAAAAAGAAAGAAAGAAAGAAATCTCACATTCCTGAATGCATTATGTGCACTTTTCACATAAGCAGAAGTGAGGCTCAGGGAGTTATGTTACTTGCCCAAGGTCCCCACCCGAGCACACTGGAGCAAAGCTGTCCTAGAAACCACCCTCTGACTTTCCAGAACATTTGAGAACAGCAAGGCATTGGAAATGGGTGATGGGAAACTGGCAGCTCGAGCTCACCATTGATACAGCCATGTTCATCACTCATGTCCTTGCAGTCATACTCCCAGTCACACTGCCGGCTGCCATGGACACAGGTCCCATCTAGGCACTGGAATTCGTCAGGGCGGCAGGTGGACACAGCTGGAAAAAGATAGAGCGTGTTAATTAGGTAAAGAGGAAAATGATGAGCTTCCTGCCTGCTTTGGGGAAAACAGATACACTGTCCTTATATTTTCCATTTTAACACAGATGCATTTCAATGTAGGGTTTTTTTTTTTATTATTAAATGATAGCTGTGTACATTAATGCAATCATGGGGTACAGTGTAGTGTTTTCATATACAATTTGAAATAGTTTCATCAAACTGGTTAACATAGCCTTTATGTCATTTTCTTAGTTATTGTATTTTTTTAAATTTTATTATTATTATTATTTGCTGGTTTTGGCCAGGGCTGCGTTTGAACCCGCCACCTCCGGCATATGGGATCAGTGCCCTACCCTTTTGAGCCACTGGTGCTGCCCTTTAGTTATTGTATTAAGACATTTATATTCTGCTTTTAGAAAGATTCACTTGTACCCTTGAAAGATAAACCACAGAGGTGATTCCTCCACCCATCCACCCCACTCCCTTCAATGTAGGTTTTTTTTTTTTTTTTTTTTTT